CCTGAATCTGAAAAAATCGGGCTTCGTTAGCGAATAAGGCCACAGTGTCTGTAAGCCCAAAAATATTGCAATTAAATCTTTGAAGTGAAATATTCTCTGCCAAATATTGTTTAAGTGGACCTATTAAATGAATTTAGGTCGTATTTAGCGACCATAGTTTCACGAGCCTTCTTGCAACCGCAAGATGGCAGGATTCGATATCCCGTGGACAGAAATCTTGATTTTTTTTTAACTTCCCACATTGATTTTTTGTTTATTTTTGGACTATGTGGAGATAATTGTAAATAAAATTTGTTTCTGGAAAGAAAAGTAGGGGTCACCGAACGTCCAAGATCGTTAAATCCAGGCAAAGCTATAGCAATGGCCATCTGCCCTGTCATATGCATTACTTATTTTATTACTTAGCGCGCGCTCTCATGCATGACGTGGTGTGTGAATTTGCGTGCGCAACAAAGATGCGCAGAAACAATAGCACGAACGTCCTTAAATTGGTTTTGGTTTGTTTAATGAGTTTGAGTCTTGGAGGTTTGGTTTGTCTTAAGTTATGGCGTTTGTTTAGGTGGGTGTTGTGTGTTTGCACATTTCGTGTGACCTTTCGCGGTCGTCATTTTTCTCCAAATCTTATACGAGCATGAAAGGGACTACTGTGAATAGTTAGCTATCATAAGCTTGTGTTCTGTTTTTCATTATGTGGGGAGTTTTAGATCGTTACAAAACTTCGCAAAACAAAAGAGACTTCTATATCTCGATTGTCCGAGTACAGCTCTAACAGAAAATTTGCGAGAAGACCTCAAATGGCTTTGCTTTTATTGCTGAGTTACACTGTAAGGCAAGTGAAACACAACTGTTTGTCAACTTGAGGTTTATAGAGGTAAATGGAAACTGAAAATGCGTGTATACCTTTGAACCCTTTGACTTACAGACTGTCAAGAAGAATCAAAGCTATTGTATTTCTTTGTTAATTTCTCGAATATTTCAAACTCGTACAGAGGTAAGTACTTTAGCTTTCGTTTCGATTTCGTTTGGCAGATAATTGCTGACTATCTTACTTTAATGTACTTCCAGGTGACTGCTTTGCTTTCCAAAGAATGTAAGACTCAAAAGCCATTCGAATCAGGATACCTTTCCGAACTAATAAAGAGTTATTAGTTTCAAAGCGTCACATAAATATTCAACACATTTTTTTTTTCTTAGTAGCCGATTTTTACCATCAAAGTGGCAAAAGTTTCTACAGGTTATAGCGGAATGTACTTACACTCCCAGTTTTCTCCCTTTCGGAAGATAAGTGCTCTTATTTCAGGAAGGCCTATATTTTTGTGACAGTACGGATGTCTTACGGTAGATCTTTTTGCGCGAGCGAGCTGGATTTAACTTCTTTGACATTATAATTTAAAAATGTGCTACTTTCAGATACCGATGAATGCGTCCTTGGAACAAATGACTGTGACCCAAAGGCTAACTGTATTAAGGGAAGGTACGTTTTTTATTGTAGGGGTGGGCCGGGGCTTCGGAGGGGAGGGTCATTAGTAATTTTTTTACAAATTGGGAAAGGTCAAACCCGTTTTATTCGGATCCAGAGGAGGGTCACAGGTTTTTTTTTTGGCAAGGAAGAAACTACTCCATGTCGCTTAGTTGACTCTTATTTGATAACAAACACGCGAAGTGTATAGAGACCTAAAACTTGTATATACAAGCAAAGTTACCAGTCAAGATTAATCTAAATTATTTACAGTTGTCGAAATATTATGAAAAAAAGCTATCTTGTCCCAACTGACATAATTGTCTCTCTCAACCCGTGCCCGCTTTCGTCCATATTTTGAAGGTAGAAATGTGTCCATGCGGGGTTCAGCTGGTATAAAATTAGTCTCCGGTGACGGCGTCGACAAAACCTGGATCGGACCGGACCGGATCACGGATCGCATCATCAATTGTAATGAACAGGCAGATGTAGTTATAGTTGAACGTTAGTTGGCTCGAAGCTTGCGTGAACCTCCCATTCTCGTTTTTGAAATTGTTGTTAGTATCAG